TGCCACCTCCTATGCATTTGTTCAGCCTTAGTTTTTCTTCTGCGGTCAGAGATATAGCATATTACTCAAGGAATTCTAAGAATTGTCTGGCTGTGTTCTTATCAGATGGAAACCTGTCTTTTGTTGAGTTTCCTGCACCGAATACTTGGGAAGATCTCGAAGGCAAAGTCGTCAATGTGGAAATTTCAGACTGTAAAACAGCACTGGGGTCTTTTGTACATCTTCTATGGTTGGATGGCCACTCACTTCTGTGTGTCTCTGCTTATGGTTCTAGCCACAACACATGTCTCTCTTCGGCAGCTTATGAGACAGATCTTCATGGTTCGTATTTACAAGAAGTTGAAGTAGTCTGTTATGAGGATCATGTTCCTGATCAAGTGACTTACTCTGGCTTTAAGGCTAGCGTTATTTTCCAGACACTTCTCGAATCACCGGTCATGGCTCTTGCCTGGAATCCTAGTAAGCGTGATTCAGCCTTCGTGGAGTTTGAGGGTGGGAAAGTGCTTGGATATGCATCACGATCAGGAATTTTGGAAACTCGTATTAGTGATGATAGTGTATGTTTTTCATCGACATGTCCTTGGGTGAGGGTGGCGCAGGTTGATGCTGGTGGGGTACATAAACCCTTGATATGCGGGCTTGATGATATGGGTAGACTGTATATCAACGGGAAGAGCCTATGTAATAACTGTAGCAGTTTCTCATTTTATTCAGAGTTGGCCAATGAAGTGGTTACCCATCTGATTATTTTGACCAAACAGGATTTTCTCTTTATTGTCGATACCAAGGATGTACTGCAGGGCGATCTGTCTCTTGGAAACGTATACTTTGTTATTGATGGTAGAAGGCGAGATGAGGAAAATATGAGCTATGTTAATATTTGGGAAAGAGGTGCAAAAGTAATAGGAGTCCTCAATGGAGATGAAGCTGCTGTCGTATTACAAACTATGCGGGGGAATCTCGAATGCATATATCCCAGAAAGCTGGTCCTCTCTTCCATTACGAATGCGTTAGCTCAGCAACGGTTCAGAGATGCATTAAACTTGGTTAGGCGTCACAGAATCGACTTTAATGTTATCGTGGATCTATATGGGTGGCAGGCATTTCTACAATCAGCTGCAGAATTTGTTGAACAAGTAAACAATTTGAACCATGTTACAGAATTTGTTTGTGCCATGAAGAATGAAGATGTTACAGAAACACTGTACAACAATTTTTCCTTTTCCAAAAAGGGGGACAAGGTTTTTCAATTGAAAGATCGTTGCAGTAACAAAGTATCATCAGTTCTACAGGCAATTAGGAAGGCCCTTGAAGAACATATACCAGAGAGTCCATCAAGGGAACTCTGTATTTTGACCACTCTTGCACGAAGTGATCCACCAGCTATTGAAGAATCTCTTATGAGGATAAAATCTGTTCGTGAAATGGAGTTGCTAAATTCTTCTGATGATATAAGGAAAAAGTCTTGTCCATCTGCAGAAGAAGCCTTGAAACATCTTCTGTGGTTATTAGATTCTGAGGCTGTCTTTGAAGCTGCCTTAGGTCTTTATGATCTGAACCTTGCAGCTATTGTGGCACTCAATTCCCAACGTGATCCAAAAGAATTTCTACCTTATCTTCAAGAGCTGGAAAAAATGCCTGAATCCCTGATGCATTTCAACATTAACATTAAGTTGAAACGGTTTGATAGTGCTCTTAGGAACATTGTATCAGTAGGGGATGGCTACTTTCCTGATTGCATGAACTTAATAAAGAAAAACCCTCAACTTTTCCCCCTGGGCCTCCAGCTTATTACTGATCCCGAAAAGAAAGAAACTGTTCTAGAGGCCTGGGCAGATCATCTCATTGATGAAAAACGTTTTGAAGATGCTGCGACTATGTACCTATGCTGCTGTAAATTGGAAAAGGCTTCAAAGGCATATCGTGAATTCGGTGATTGGAGTGGGGTACTCAGAGTGGGGGCACTGATGAAATTGGGTAAAGATGAGATCTTGAAATTGGCATACGAACTCTGTGAAGAGGTCAACGCTCTTGGGAAACCAGCAGAAGCAGCAAAAATAGCTCTTGATTATTGCAGAGATATAAGTGGTGGAATTAGTTTGCTTATCAATGCGAGGGAATGGGAAGAGGCGTTAAGGGTTTCATTTTTGCATACAGCAGATGGCTCAGTGGTGAAGAGTTCTGCTCTGGAGTGTGCTAGTGGTCTAGTAAGTGAATTCAAAGAATCAATAGAAAAGGTAGGAAAATATTTGACTCGCTATTTAGCTGTTCGGCAGAGACGTTTATTGCTTGCAGCAAAGCTCAAATCTGAGGAGCGGTCTGTAGTTGATCTTGACGAAGACACAGCTTCAGAAGCAAGTAGTAACCTGAGTGGAATGAGCGCCTATACTTTGGGGTATATCCTTTCATTTGTCTTTATTCTCTAAGTCTTCGTCTTATTCTTGTAGTCTTTATCTATGTGGATTTTTTCTCAGTTGATCTTACATATTTAAAACTAAAACGGAGCTGAACTAGGTATTGATTGTTTTTAGAACATGAGCTCATATTTAAGGTTTTCTGATGACTTCAACATGTTTTCTGATTGTGTGCTCGATTAACTAGCATCTAATTATATGCATGAAGATTCCAAGACAGATATTTTTGTATTGGTAAAGTGGTAAACTTTAGGGTGGGAGTTTAATGCATGATTGTTGAGCCTGCTAGCTGAAAGCTGATGATTGAAAAGAAGGTTGAGCATATTCTGGATTTCTTTGGGTGTTGATTAAGCATTTGAAAGGACAAGATTAATGACAGGTTGAATTCTTGGGTGCTGGGTAGAGAATTAAGATTTTTCTGGGGAATCAAAGTCTAGAATGTATTTGTTTTGTGGATTAAATAGGGAAACAGTCAAAGTAATTTGGATCTTAACTTAAAAAGTTTTTCTTTTTCTTTTTCTGATGCTATTATTTCAGGACAAGGAGAGGGTCTGCTGCTTCAGTCAGCTCAAGCACGGCTACTAGCAGGGCAAGAGACTTGAGGCGCCAGAGGAAGAGTGGGAAAATCCGCGCTGGCAGGTAAATACATCTTTTATGGAAATTAATCGGTATCAATGAAGAGCAAAAATGTAAGAAACTTGGGGTAAAAATGCAGTGCGGGTGAGGAGATGGCTCTTGTTGATCATTTGAAGGGTATGCGAATGACCGATGGAGGAATGCGAGAGCTGAAGTCGTTGTTGATATGTCTGGTAACACTTGGTGAAACGGAGTCAGCACAGAAGTTACAACAGAGTGCAGAGAATTTCCAGGTCTCGCAAGTATCTGCTGTAGAGCTAGCACAGGATACAATGTCCAGCGAGATTGTAGATGAAGAAGTTTATTGCTTTGAACATTACGCTAAGAAGACAAGATCCACAGCACGAGAGTCTGATACCTTTAGCTGGATGCTTAAGGTCTTCATTAGCCCATGAAATTCTCTAGATCGGTTTCTGACTTAATAAGCTATATCAACAAGCCTGTGCTTTTAAAACATCAAACCTTCATCTACCATTTTGGCTCTTTCCTATTGTTACCGTTTTACACAGTGAAGAGATTAAATATGCATCTGCTCCAGTTTTGTTCATCGCTTAAGATTCATGTGTTGAACAATGTAGGTTGTTAGGAAAATTGACCAATGCTCCATTTGTGATAATAACGATAAAAATCCGACTGGTAGGTTTAGTTTACTAAAATGAATCGTGTATAATTAATATTACTCTGTCTATGACTATGAGTGTGATTGGTGATGTTATATTGCCAATCAAAACTGAGCATGCAAGCACTTAAAATCTAGTGAAAGGTTTAGCTATTCACATGCGCGAAAGAAAGAAAGAGGCAAAAGATAGTAAAAACGAATTCATGCCACCGATGCAGTGCATCAACCAGCCTAGACTAATTGAAACAGCAATCTATTATATTCTAAAATAGTCAAAAAGAAACAAAAAAAAAACGTAGTGATAGATGAATGTCTTTTTTTGTTTGGTTAAGTACTTGTCGCCACATCTTTGCTCAAAATATCAGTCTTTTCACTCTGGTTAACACCATGATTCGCAAAGGGAAAGAAAATATCGAAGTCCAACGGTCATGAATCCATAGAGACAGACCATATAACAACATCTTTACGTCCGTCTTTTGCATGGACTAAAATGTCTTTCTTACAGAACCGCGAGTGTTGAACATATAGACTAAACAGTAAACACATATAAGCAGAGCAATTCGTATCGCGCGTGAAAGTGTACGATGGAAATATAAAAACGTGGTGTGTGTTTTTGTCAAACAACGTGATGTGTGTTAGCAGTTTAGGTGCGCTTTTTCTCATAATTTTCTGGTTTATAAGAACTGAATAGATCATCTTTTAATGAAATAATACAATTTAATTATCCTCAAACACAATTATATTGTTTTAGTCACACAAAATATCAGATAAAATTCATATCGGTAAATTCGACTACATATTGTACCTCACTTTCTTGTTTTGCTTTGTGCCGTGAAATGGTCTCATTATTGTCTGGTTTAGAATATATAGGACTCTAGTTTGGTACATGCATATGCATGTTAGCTACCTAGCTATATATATCCTATCCGAATAGTTATGTTGTTATAATTGAGAAAAATCCATCAGAAGCTGTTAATAAATTGATATGACTCATATGGATCGGTTTAGACGATAGAGAAATTATGCAACCGAATAAAATATAAAAATAAAAAGAAAACATTAATGGTCACTATATAATAATTAACGGAAGCTAGTGAGATTAGTACTTGAAACTGCCAAATTGATTAAAGTAGGCATATTGACAAAATTTTAATTAAAGTGGTCTATGAGAATCCGCACCAAGCCAATCAAGCAATGTTTACCCCTAAAAACACGAGTTTAGTGCTCATATTTTTTCCTCTTTTTTAGGCAGATGTATTAAATTCCTTGCACTTCACTGATAATATGTTTTCTAAAATGCTCTTTGCGTCGGAACACATGAAAACGTTATGATGAGGGGCTTCAAACAGAATTTTATATATGTACACACACACGCATAGATATAGCTTCTGTTTTCTTTCTTTTCCGATATAACAAAGCCAAAACAACTCTTTTCTCTAACCAAGAGAGAAAATTAAAGTTCATAGTTCAGAATGCAGCTTGAGAGAGCAAGGCCATTCTTGGCCATCGTCTTCATTCAGTGTTTGTACGCATTGATGTCTATAGTAGCTAAACTAGCTTTGAACGCTGGCATGAGCCCTCACGTCTTAGTTGCTTACCGGATGGCAGTTGCTTCAGCTCTCATTACTCCTTTTGCCCTCGTCCTTGAGAGGTTCTTTTTCTTTTTCTTCTTCCGGTTCCTGCCTGTTAACACATCTACTCTTCCAACTTAGAATAATGTTATGGAAATGCAGGAACACAAGACCACGGATGACCTTCAAAATCTTGTTTCAAATAGCCATCCTTAGTTTATTTGAGTAAGAAGACTTTGTTCACACCATCTCTGATTCATCATAATGACGATCTTTGCTCTGTATCCGTGTATGTAATATAAGTAACTCTGTTTAAATGAACAAATTCAGGCCTGTGGTGGAACAAAACCTGTACTACTCAGGGATGAAACTTACCACTGCCACATTCACATCCGCTTTGTGCAATGCACTTCCTGCAATGACATTCATAATGGCCTGCATTTTCAAGTAACTCCCTCCCTCTATCTCACTCTAAACCAATGCATACATCACTGCTGAAACGATTTTACCCTGTTTCTGTTTTTTTTTGAAAGGCTTGAGAAAGTGACAATGAGAAGGCGTCACAGCCAGGCAAAGGTGGTGGGAACCATGGTGGCTATTGGAGGAGCCATGTTCATGACTTTCTTGAAAGGGCATGCCTTGGAGCTGCCTTGGACAAAGAACTCAAGGGGTCTCGATGCGCATTCACATTCTCTGAGGATTCCAAAACAGGAAGATATAGCAAGAGGATCACTTATGCTTGTAGCAAGCTGCTTCAGTTGGTCATGTTACATCATTTTACAGGTAGGAGCCTTCCCTATTCTTACAACAGCCATGTATCCGTTACATAGCTTTCAGACAACCGCATCCGTTTGGCTACTGGCTACCTTAAAACCAGATACTCGGCAGAAAAAACATTAGCCGATAATATCTCTAGTGAACAAAACAGTGAAATCACAGAGGAATTTATGTTTTTTCAGGCAAAGATTCTGGTTCAATATCAAGCTGAGCTCTCGCTAACATCTCTAATGTGCATTATGGGGATGTTGGAGGCTACTGTTCTGGGATTGATATGGGAAAGGAAAAACATGTCAGTCTGGAAAATCCAACCGGACGTGACGCTTATAGCTTCAATATATGGGGTACAATTCTTATATCTGTAAAACCCTTTTGTGTGTATGCATGTTTGCTGATGAAAGAAGTATTGTTGATTGTCACATAGGGACTTGTATCAGGGTTAGCATACTATGTTATTGGATGGGCGTCAAAGGAGAGAGGACCTGTGTTTGTGAGCGCATTTAACCCGCTCAGTATGGTTCTCGTTGCTATTCTGAGCACCTTTATATTCTTCGAGAAGTTGTATCTAGGAAGGTAACAATAGCATTGATTTAAAAGACTACTATTGTGGTACATCTAAAGTTAATGAGTATTGATTGTGGCTTCTAAATTTGTAAATTTGTAGGGTTTTTGGGTCAGTTGTCATTGTCGTCGGGATATATATGGTACTGTGGGGTAAAAGCAAGGACGAGGGAGGAAAGCTTCAACCAAACGCTGGGTGCACAGAGACTGTAGTAAAGATTGACGAACTAAAGGTTCCAACGCATGATAATAACCAAGTAGTACCCACCAGTGAGCAGTTAATGATCCCAAAGGCAGCAGCTCGATTTCACGACTCAGTCTGAGATGCCGGTTTTGTTCCAGGATCTCTATATACCGCGCATAACAGTTTTGATAGTATTGAAATGATGGTTTGCAAGAATAAGAACAAGCAGTGCGCTACAAGGTCCCATAAAACCTTAGAATTTGGAGTTTTTGCAGTAGTTTATATACTTTAGTAGGAGAACTAGGCTTCATGAAACCCTAAGGCCATCATAGCAGTACAGAAGTTAGAGTTACAGAGAAGAATGGATTTCACTTGTAACAAAAACCTTCCAGTTGATAACTCATCTTCTCAAGAGGCCAAAGCGACAGCATCCTTGCCATAGATACGCTTAAGCTCAAGGCTGGCAACTTGAAATGAAGCTGAAAAGATACACAAGTAGAAATGATTGGCTTTTGTATCTTGTTGCCATGCTCTAAGAAGCTTTATCCTATTAAAATGTCTATGTTGAATTACTACCTTTCCAGGTGTTGAAGTTCTTATGGTTAATATCAGATCCTGTGACACTTTGAATAGCATCCAGCAACTTCTCTTGAGGTGTATTCTTCAGCTCTTGAACAACGCCATAAATGGTCTTCCCATTCTCAAAGTATATGTGGTTATTTGGGTGCTTTGTCTTGCAATTAGCATGCTGCTCGAACTCATAAGCATTAAGAACCTGTTGCACAGTTGCACAGTTGTAAAATAAACAGATGACATATAATTTTTTTGTATTAAACAGACCTGCCAGTGAATTACTGAAACCACTTGTACCACGTTGCTTACTTTATTGAAGTTACAGTTGCTGCAACCACATAGATATCCAGTCCCCTTAATGATTCCTTTGAGATTTTTCTGCCAAATCATGTTTCAGCACATAGAAGATAAAATGGAAAGGTTTCCTTCTCAAGACAGATAAAAAGAACAAACTGACCTCACGTGACCACGAATAGTACTTCACAGTAACCCCATCAAACATGCCTGTTGACAACAAGGACTTCACATTTGAAGGAAATGTGTTTCTAGAACCCTTCTTGGCTGTCTTTGAATCTTTACTTTTGGGCACGGGTAAGGTATCAACTCTAGGGCTACCATAGAGGTCATTTCCAAAATCAAAAGACCTGTTTTGCTCTGCTTCCAAATGAAGAGGATCTTTTGCAGTTGCAGGGTCATGGCTGAAGTTCTCATAACTGTTAATAACATGGGCTGATGAAGAGAATGTGGTTTCTTTCTGATAATCTCCAAAAGATATGGTCTTGCTTCTCTCTTTGTGACTAATTTGATCACTGGTTTCGTCTGCTCTTCCTTGGCTAGAAACCATAGATGCCATGTCACTACCTTCCGTATGTAGTGACTGTCCTCCTGACAACATATTGGTATTTTCTTTGCAATAGTTTGGTTCGGTCATGAAAATGTTTTCAGGTACTCTGTCACAAGAGAGAAGAGACATGAAGCTATCATGGCCCTTGGTATAGGAGGAACTCATTGAGAGGATATTACAGTCAGCCTTTTGAAGAGACTGACCCATCAATACAAAGTTTTCTACTCCTTTCTCAGATGTTGACGAGACATTTCCATCTTCTTTGTTGTATATATCCCCCATTGGTATGAAACCAGCACCTTCATTGTTGAAGTTTCGACTGAAAGTTCCATCCACCTTGCTAGCGAATTGCCCTGGAAAGATGAAGAAGCTCTTATCAATATTACCGCAGGTTTTAATTTGGCCAAAGGATAGAGTGCTATATTGATTGCTATTATATGGAAATACCTGTTTCTAATGATCTTGGAACCCCACCATAAAGCTGAAGCATGAATTCGGGAATGTTTCCATATTCAGAGACTTGATTGACTATAACATTTCTGATGGTGTCAAGATTCAATGTGCTATCATGAACGGTATGGACCACTGGCAAACCAATTGACGAGACATTATTGCATTGCTCCTCCTCGATATGTTGACCGCCTAAAGGAGAAACATTCCTACCAAGGAGATGTGATGTATGGGCATTGGCAGCATCGAATAAGCAATTAGTTAAGTGAGAGGGCACCAGAGAATTGTCCCATGCAGGAATATTCATATGTGCACCAATCTCTACCAACTGTCTCTTATTACCGAATAGTTGTGAGTCAGACGGTTCTGTCAACCACTGATGACTTCGCTTTAGTTCCATTATGGAAGCACAGGAATATGGAATCTCCTCACTATCCTGTCTGCCAAAATCCTTTGTCATCCTCTGTCACAACCTAAACCAGTCAGAGATATAACAAATGCATAGAATTATGAGAAGAGGAATCACACTATCACATAGATGAAGAATCAGGGCATATTACACAAACTAAAACATTTTTAAGGATGAAAACTAAAAAATTTTAAGGATGGAAAGAAAAAACCTTGTGTTCTTACAAAATAAGTAAAGGACGTTGTTGTCAAGAATGGGGAATAGTGGAACCCTAAAAATCACAGAATCCTGGCCTCTGCTTCTTACCTTGCAAATTGCATCACTGTGACTAAGATCAGAGCTTTTTAAATGTTGTATATTTTCTACGGAAGCTTGAAAGCTCTGTTAGATTGACAGCCAGCCAAGTGAAAAGGGAAAATCCAAACCAGGAAATTGGGATTTTAGGGTTGCAATAAAGAAGACACACAATTCTAGAGAAGAGTGAGAGTTTGAGTATGGAGAAAAGTGAAAAAGGAAGGATCATCAAGAGTCGAAGAGACTCGTAATGTTATAAGAATAACTGCAAAAGTTTATTAAAGATCAGATAAAAATAAATAATTTTGGTGACTGACACAACAAATACAATTTTCAAGTAAAGTAATCAATCTCAGGCAGGCCTCTCGATTTGTTGGTGTAACAGTTGGTAGATTTTTGTTTTTTCCAAATTGATTATTTGTTTTTTTTTTGGGGTAGGAATCCAGCTTATTAATAAAGATTTTTTTGGTGCATCTATTAAAAATAACAATATGATTAATAAATTAAATATACAAAATAAATAAATTACTAAAATTAAATTAAAAAGGTCTAAGCATCTCATATTTTTTAATATCGTTTGATCTCTTCCAATGTAAATGCATCTCGACTCTTGGTAGTGTTGCCCTTAGGAGAAAGCTTTCTTATGCAATTTTGCGACTTCTTGTAGCATTTAATTGGAAATGCCTTTTATCTGATCTGATACTGGGCCACTACCGTCTACGATGATCTGATATTAAGCAACCATATTTGCTACTGGTAAGTTTAGAAGTTTTACAACTTATGTATCCAATGATCAAAGGGCATGGAGTTTTTCCAAAAGCATTAATTGGATCACATGATGAGGACTCACCCTTTGCTACAAAGAATAAGACTAGGTATAATCATCAAAACAAGCCTATAAATAACACTAGAAGCTAGCTTTCATTTTTCTTATAGAAGCTCTTCAATTTTTCTCCAAACCCAGCTGCAAAAATGGGTTTTACTGCCTGCCTTTCTTTGCCATTTTAGGATTCTTGCACATCCTGATACTCTGAGGTGTAACCTCCACCAGTTCATCCTCTTCAATGTATTCGATGCAGTCGTCCAGACTATAAGTTAAGGGAGTGTCAAGAACCACTGTAATTGAGACAAGAGCATTTGTGAGCACATGATATTGAATCTTTCACAAGTTAAGATATATATATGAAGTACCTGTTACATCTTTGTTGGACCGTATGTTTGTTGCTGCCTTCTTCTTGCAAATATTAAGGCCCAAGTCACCAGGTCTCTGGTGGATCCCAACTATCTGACCTTTGTATACATCCACTCCTGCACCCACAAACATTTGCCCTCTCTCTTGCGCACTCGCCAGAGCATACGATGTTGATGTTCCATCTTCAAAGGCAACCTGAAAGTCCCACTTTCCTATTCAGAAACCACAAATAACTACCAAAATGGCATATGTTTCACCAAAAGTTTACATTTGTAACCATTTCCGAACAATCTATTTACAAGGATTGCCAATTCCTGGAACCGAACTCAACATTCCAACTTACCAGCGAACCCAGATCACGGGTGCTAATATCACCGGCCCAAGGTCCATAACTGTCAAATACAGTGTTAAGGATAGCGGTTCCCCGAGAAGCTGTTAAGATTGCGTTCCTCAATCCAAGAAGTCCACGTGTCGGGATTTTGTACCGCAGAAAAGTTGTTCCTTCGGATCTGTCATTCAGGATTCACATGCATGGTCAGATTGATCTTAAAAACTGCAAAGTCTAGATTTACCAAGTAGCTTATCTGGAAAAACAACGCTAAAGGGCCTCAAACACACACACATACACACAAAATTCATGACTGAATGAGAAATTAACATGAAATCAGGTATTTTTTGTTCTCATATAAATGCGGTATTGCTGAAGGAAGCCTTTTCATGGCCCTGATTGACCAAAAGGTTCTCAAAGCACTAACAATTCTTGTGCACGTTCATGTGCTGGTTACAGTCAGCTAATAACATTAAACTGCTGCCATAAACAACCAAAGGACATTACCATAATATGTCTTAATCAGTTTGTTCCCACCACGATCAAAATGTTTTGACACAAAATCATTGTCAAGAGGCAGAAGAAACTATGCACACTCAGAAACTTGCATATAAAATAAAGTGATGGCAAGAGAGACAATACATACCCTACATTTTGCATATCAAACATCTGTCCACGCCTTTTGCCAAGAAGTTCAACAACAGGCCCCATGTGAGCCTCTGGTACTTCAACAGTTGCTATCTGAATTGGTGGATTTTGAAATAAATTAGGGCTCTTTTACTTGTTTAAGGCATAATTCATGAAAGCAAAAGGTCATTTCATGGTTTCATAAGTTGCTGCTAGAAAACTAGTAGGTCGTCTGAAACTCACCTCATATGGCTCTTGCACTTTATCGTTAACCTTTTTGTTGATAACTTTCGGGGGTCCTACCATAAATTCATATCCCTCTCTTCGCCTGGAACATATTACCGTTCAGCTACTATCAATTTCAAATATGAAAGGAATGATGGAGAGTGAGGTACTTACATGTTTTCTATTAGGATGGTAATGTGTAGTGTACCACGCCCACTTACAATGAATGTGTCTGCTGTCTCACCATCTTCCACTTTCATAGCTAGATTTCTTTCAAGTTCACGGTTTAAACGATCTCGTAAGTTCCTGCTCGTTACATATTTCCCCTACACAAAAGTAAAAATAATTCAATTGTTGCACTAATCCTTTTCTTTATGGTTGAGAACGTTTCCTCATCCATGTTTATACTTCCCTCTTTGTATCTTGTAGCCATGCATTCATGGAAAATAGATTAAGATATACTCATGACAGTAACATCAGCCATGATTAGACCTACCTCACGACCAGAAAATGGAGAGGTGTTTACAGAGAAGGACATTTTCACTGTTGGCTCTTCTACTCTGATTGTAGGTAGAGGCTTCCCATGTGCTTTATCCGCAATAGTCTCCCCAATCTGTAAATTATGGGTATACAAGGAAACCAATACGTTACAGCTCAACTAGCAACAAATAAGAAAAATGACAAGTGGCTGAAATGATCCACCAGTGTTACAAGTCTCTCACATTTGGCATCAAATTATCCATGCTAATACGTGTACCTGAATGTTGTCTATGCCACATACAGCGCAAATATCTCCAGCTGCCACTGAATCAGTAGGTACTCTGTAGAATTTCTCATATACAAAAAGCTCACTAACTCTTGCAAATCTACAGGAATCTTCAGATGTACACACCTGTAGAGATATATCCCAATAAGTCTACTACAAACCATATCAAGTCTGCAAGAAGTTAGTGAGTTCGTATTGGAATCTTGCTGATTCGTAAGGTTTTGGCACCATGCCCCAATCAATTACGTCTTGGACGTATTTCATCATAAGATTTAATGAATTAGAAACTTAAGGTGATAATTTTTTCTATGAGCCCACATCATTTATGTCCATAACATAGGAATAATTTCAAGATTGATAAAAAATGTTACCCGGACATCCATTCCTTTGCGCAGTACCCCTGCGTGTAGTCGTCCAATAGCAATGCGTCCTTTATGCTCATCATACTCAATATTTGTGGCCTGAACAAAACAAATTAAAAAAGTGTTAGCTTCATATAAGTGAATATCTTTTCAACTAGATTGTTTGGTTAACTGAAATTTCTTTTGAACATTTTTTTGAATCGAGAAATATCACAGTGCAGTATACCAGAAGGTTTATTAATTAAAAATTGATAAATTCATCAATTTGACCGGGTATGAACCTAGACACAAGCCACAAATTGTTTACTTTATTTCAGAGTGCCATTAGTTTCTTGGATTTAAGATTGTAGCAAGTGACTGCTTTTAGCTGGTGAGAGACAAGTTTGATGTTTCATGTGTCTAATGAGTATATATTTTGGCTAGGAGAGCTATATATGCAAGATACCTTTTTGGCTTTAGTTGGGAACAAACAAAAAACATGAAACGAAAGGTAAGAAAATCACAATAACTTACAAGCATCTGCAGTGCACCATCTTTTTCAATATTTGGCCCAGGTACACATCTGATTATAGCTTCGAACAGGGGTCCCAGGTCATCTGAAAGGTCGTCAGGAGAAAGCCCCGCCTTTCCTTTAATCCCACTAGCATATATCGCTTGGAAATCACACTACACGCCATGCAAAAATATCTTTAAGATTAGTTGCATGAAAATTTACTCAAAGTTAATCAGTCACGCGAGATACCAAACTAGGAATAGACAAACCGAAACAACATACCTGTTCATCTGTAGCATTCAGTTCAATAAAGAGTTCAAAGGTGGAATTAACAACAAATTCAGGACGAGCAGAAGGCCTGTCAATCTTGTTTACGACCACGACAACGGCATGTCCAAACTCAAGAGCCTTCTTTAAAACAAACCTTGTCTGGGGCATAGGTCCCTCAACAGAGTCGACCTAAGAAATTGAGGAGAGGAAATTGAAAAATACAGAGCATAAAAAAAGTTTCTTATAAAGCATTGAGAGAAAGTAACATATTACCACAAGAAGCACTCCATCAACCATGTTCAAGACACGCTCTACTTCACCCCCAAAGTCAGAATGGCCAGGAGTATCTATAATATTTACTTTAGTATTTTTGTAAGTGATGGATGTATTTTTGCTAAGAATAGTGATTCCTCTTTCACGCTCAAGGTCATTTGAGTCCATGATCCTCTCTTGCATGACTTGGTTATCTCGGAACACCTGCAAAAGTAAGGTACGGATTAATAAGAAAACTAAAATTCAAGCTTCCCAGGTTGGATAAGAAAAACCCAAAGCCATTATTTGCGTTTACCTTAGCTTGCCTAAGCATAGAATCAACCAAAGTAGTTTTGCCATGATCAACATGAGCTACGATTGCTATGTTCCTCACATCATTTCTCCTATCCAACTGCGTTTTCTTCACTTCTATTGGCATAACATAACAAACTGATTTTGTTTAGAGAACCAATCAACCAAAAAAAAAAGATATATAGTCAAACACTCAAACTAACCTAAGTGTAATTCTTAGAACTTTGATTGACTAAAGTTTCATTTTTTCAAAAACTCGTTCCTTAAACAAAACCGAAATTAGTTTCTAATCAAAAGAGATAAGAGGAAAAAAATAAATAACCGGAGGCTGGTTCGGCGGTTGATGGAGAGGCGGAGCAAGTGATGGGACGAGGAAACAGACGGCGAGAAGGAAATCGGAGAGCTCCTCCCCTTGGTTTAAGCGCGGAAGCAAAGCTAACGCCGAGCACTTGTTGCTTTTGAAGCAGAGGAGAAGCTTGTCTCCTCAAAACCGCTGGAGAAGCGGAGGAAGTGCTTAAGCTGAGCTCCATTTCAATTCTCTCCGCCGCGAAACAGAGGAGAGGGAGAGGGAGAGGGAGAGGGAGCTTAAAGGATATATTTGGTTGGAGAGGAGAAGCTGATTGTTTTATTCCGAGGATTGCATTAAGAAGACTGCGCAGTAGAGGGACCAGGTTAAGCCACGTCTCCACTCTTCGACTTATCGATTTCCCAAGTTGAGCCAGCTCCACTCAGGGCCTCGTAAAATTCATACATGGATGGTATCGAGCTTCTAGGACTTATGTGGCAGTTCATGTGGCGTTTCGTTTCAGAATTTAACTTCAATCATCAAATTTCAAACCAAATTCTACATGGTGCCTACTAGTTTGATTCATTCTCTACACTATGTGTGTAACCCATAAATTGATGCTTTCGCCATGATAAACAACATGGCGCAGCAAGTTTCGTATTATGGTTCTGAGGGACCAAACATCAAATAGGATTGTATAATTTACATCAATAAGAATATAAAAGAAAGGTATTGAGAATATTGCAGCATCACCAATTTATCATTCTCAGTCTTCTTCTGACTTGAGAGCATCATGATGTTGATGTTGATGTTGATGTTGATTATCTCTCTTGCAAGTATTGGATTCACAAATGCTGACAGCTTTAAGAGATCAGGATATTCACAGCTTCAGGTCAATTCGCTCGGACCATTCATATATGCCAGAGTAGACATGGTCATGTCCTATATCCGACCCATTACCTCCTGCAGCGACCCTCATGATATCCTCGATCAACGCAAAGTTTCCCATTATATCGACATGGGCTCCACTCTGGGTCCCACGCCCTTCCAGCAGGTTAGCCGGCGGAGAGTGATTGTATTCTCTAACGTATGTCTTGATTCCCGAAGGGTTGAATCTTGTCTTGCCACGCCACGCTTTGGCACACATGTACCCGGAACTCAGGACCGGTACTGTTTCATCCCCATCCACATTGTAAACCCCTGCTTTCAGACAGCTATCTTCGTCCTCCTCGTGGGCGGAAGTGAAGATCTGAAAGGGGATGCAACTGTCCGGAGACTGGTTAAGCTTGTACACGTATGCTCGTTCTGTTGGTATCCCAACTCCGTACAATGAATAGATTTCCATTTCCGGAGCATTGGGTAATCTGAAACAGCAGAACAAAGCAAACAGTTATTTATATAAATAATCCTAATGGGATAGAGAACAATTTTATCCCAGGTCTCACAGAGACTGAGCAACAAATGCACATAAGATGCTTCAAGTTATTTAGGGTAAATCCCAGCAAGTGAAAGAGAGTCTACTATACTCCTTTAAAACTGGAAGGTGGTAATAAGGGTGGGTTTTCAGCCAATTAAATTTCGAATTAGTTGATTTATTTGTCATGTCAAAAGCCACCCTTCAGCTGCTTCTATAAGCAAGTGTCACCTTTATCAACTTTGGCTACTCAAATATAGCTGAACAAGCTTTTTCAAGTAAGACTCATCAAAATAGCTTTGAGCTTCAAAACCATATCTAATGAGATGGAAAGTAAGAGACTCATAATGCATCAGGACCAAGCTTAGAGTTCGTATCAAAATAAATCACTTACTTTGTCTCCAACGGATTTGACCAATATTTGGGATCTTTATACTTGGGGTCATCCAAATCATCTGCAATTCCATAGGAGAAATGAGCGCCACCACGCGCCATCATCTTAGGAGCAACATAATTTAGTAGATCTATAGTTGCACCAGCAGTGTAGACTTTATACTCAGCAATAGCTTTGATCCCTGCAATTCCCATATCGTGGTACTCTGTCCACACGTCACGACATGTGTGATTTGGTATACTCTGACCTTTGACCGCACCCTTCACCAAGTAAAATGTATAGATTATTCATCACCTTATCACAGGCAGTACAAGGTTTATACAATTTAAAAGTCCTTACCCGAAAATCAATATTATTAATCTCAGATGGCTCAGCCTCTGCTATTTCTTTCCCAAAAGATATCATCCTTCCATAGTTCACAGGTTTTTTCTTGGATCTTCCATTTTCACCTGCTTCACCACGAGTCTCGTTGTTCTTTTGCTTTTTCCCAGTACATGTATGACCTTTCTCTGGCGACCAGTCAATACCGCCCCATATTGTATCACCTCCCTTCGGTAACATGGACATTGTTGAGTCCCATGTGCGTGTCATTCTCATTATATGCTGCAAGGTCTGAAGTCTAAATATATCGGTGTCTAAGAACCCTGGGGCAATCGCTCTGCAATTTCGAAGACAGTAAAGTTCTATTAAGGAACCAAGCGACTGACTAAAAGTGCAACTAATCCGACAATTCTGTAATTAAGCAGAAATAAAAGACCATAGCTGCACATACAGGAAGATTGAAAGAAGCATAAAGTAACATCGATTGGTAAAAAAAGCAAGTATGGAAGCTCAAGCACTTTTCCAAATCAAAATTCAGTGTCCTCCATGACAGTATTGAGTGTTTTTCAAAGCTAAAAACTAGTTAGGACAAGGGGGCAATGCATATAAAACTCTTGACTTTCAATATCTCTTCAAGTAGTTCTAAACTTAATTTGCCTGAGGACAAGGGGGCATTTCTTTGTCGCACTTCCAAAGATTTTTTTTAGTATAAAGTTAGGCAATTATTGCTAAAAAAAAAATATGATGAGCACAGCCAACTGATCGAAAACAGTAAAATCAAAATTATTGAGTAGGTACATACATACCAACTCGACATTACTTACATAAAACTGAAAGTATCCTAGAAGTTCTCTTTCACTTGACTGTCGTAACCATCATTGACAATTTCATCGATTGTTTAGTTCTCAAGAGAGTTCCAATTTTTAGCAGCTATATTAAAACACTGTTCTTCGAATTGATATCAAGTACTAGTAGCATAAGTTTGAGTTCCAGGAACAAGGTTCTGATCATTTAAAGCACAATCATATATTCCATACCTGGCTACTGCAACATCCTTTGCTTCAGCAGAGAAAAGCCCTGCAACAGCTTTTGGGACACCAAGAAATGGTCCACCAATGTTCATCACTGCCTTTATATACTTCGCACACCAATCTGGCCCACCCCCGCCACCCATTGGAGCTGGTTCCTCAACCCATTTCATAAAATGTAGAAAATACAGGACCCCCATGGAATGCGGAACTATCACTGCCTTTTTCCCACCATTGGTAGAAACCATCAACTCTATATTACTTTTCATACGGCTAAGTGTCTGGTCACGCACCTATTAATTCAACATGAAACAAATTTAAGCCGTAAGTGATAAAGAACGAAACTTGGCATCAAACAGAATAAATAAAAAGTCTTATGAGAGAAGAACCTCTGTGTTCTGAAATGAAAGCCTCCAGTCATATGCAGCCATGTACATGTTTTTTTCTTCATATCCAATATGTGCAAGGTTAGCAATCAGTACAGCCCAAACAAAGTAGCCAGGAGCAAAGTAGTCAGCAGCCACGAGTCCTGATACAGCTCTCACTCTGATACCTTCAGGATCCAACCCAGTTTCGTTGTCAAGTGACATGTGTTCCACCCAACATAGAGGCCTAAATCAAAGAGATAATCAATTAGTTATGATATCATCAGCAATAACGCTGTTCCATCTCTAACATAGCCAAAAAAGAATGAAAACTGAGCCGAAAGAAGAAAGATGGAGATCGTAACAAATAAAATAGATGTAACCCACAAAACAGTTTCTTTTTTTGTTTTGTTTTGTTTTAATCTATAGCAGGCTAGAGAGAAATTGAGGGCTGGATAACAGAATGAGGATGGAGGAAATTTAAGACATATAAATAGACTCGATGTTGAAAATCATCTCAGAAACAATTTGAGAAAAGCACATTGAGCTGAAAGACAAAAAAGATGCTAAATTTAAATGCACATGCACATAGTTGACTAATAAAGCAACAGTCTTCTATCACAGCTTTAACACACTTATTATTTGGAACTTCTCTATTCCTAACAGAAGATAAAACACTACTTCATTATGCTCTCCACACAAGTAAATATACACTCAACGACAGTAAGGGAGCAACTTATTATGAACGGAATCTAGGGCTTGTCTAGAAACAGATTTGGTAATAAAATGACTTGAAATCCCAAGGAAGCTGAATTTTAAGATCCAAAAATTTAACAAAATTAAATGTAAATCCTTGGTGATCTTGCTGAGTTGCTTCAACAAACCCAAAACAGGTACTTGGAGTGCAAACACAAAAGACAACAACAAAACCATCTTAAAAAAGAAAGCCTTTCACATCTAAAAAGCGTGTAGAAAGAGTAAAGAGTAAGAACAAAGCAGCAAGTGCGTGATCTCATCAGATCCAACCCAAATCCCAACACACACATATATATGAGAGAAGATATAAAAGAAGGAGTGAGAATTTGAGGAAACCTTTTGTAGACTTCACCAAAAGTGCCTCCCCACAATCGCTTTCTAAATAAACCATCAGCGCACTGTTTGCCTTCCCAAAGCTCAAGGCCTCCGGTAACAATCCCAGGAATGAAGACAACGGGATGTGTGGCCTTAAGACCTTCTTTCTTCAGCTTCACACCAGGCGGGTCGGGCAAAGGACCCGTGATTCGCTCCGTTACATACTGAGGGAAACTCGCAGGCATTGCGTTGTAAAGAAAGAGGAGAAACCACCATGTGACACACACACACCCAATGAACCAACAACACGAATCGACACACGACCACTTGCCTCCTCCATTCGATTTCTTATGGGTTTTCGAAGATTCATGAGGTTTCTTCTGGGAATCCTCATCGGGCACCACCACCTCTTCAGATGACGTCGGAGGCTTTTTCCGATGAATAAGAGGCATACCTGGTCACTTTAAATCTAACCAGACGAAGCTACCCACTTTGTCAATCTCTTTGAAGGACCCAGATTGGGGGATTTTTTTTATTTTTTTGTAGATCAGTCCAGAGAGCCAAAGAGCTGTTTCGCTGCGATTTTCTGAAACCAATCAAATCAATTTTTGTCTCATTTTGATTTTTTTTGTTCGACTTTTCTGTTTTTTTTTTTTGTTTTAATTTAAAAATTCTGATATTCCAAGGGACTCGGACCGTCTGTGCAAAACTTGACCACTTTGATCCTGGTTGCGGTCAACCTTAGACCCGTCCGATCCGTTTCGTTGATTTCATTATTAATAGTCCCGTAACATTGTTTTTTGTCGGAGTCCCGTAACATTGTTTAACCTATTAA